CTCGCGTCTCCGAAGCCATAAACCCTGGTGAATTAAGCCATAGTTGCGTCCCCGATGCAACACAACCGCTGAGCATTAATTAATATTCGCGCCCCCGAATCCCCCCCCCCCCGCAAATTACGCTGTATTCGCGTACCCGAAACCATAAACCTTTGTAAGTTACGCAATACTCGCGTCTCCGAAGCCATACGCCTGCGTAAATGATGCAATGTTTGCAACCCCGATGCCATACACCCTCGTAAATTGTACAATAATCGCGTGTCCGAAACCAAAAACCCTCGTAGATTATATCGTATCCGCGTTGCCGAAGCCATAAGCCTATGCAAATTACTCTAAATTTGCGACCCCGAAGCCAGAAACCCTCGTAAATTATGCGTTACTCGCGTATCTGAAGCCAACAACCATCGTAAAGTATATTAGATTCGCGTCTCCGAACATGTCAATACTTCGTAGAAAAGGTTTTTGCACAACATTCGCGGGCAAGATCGAAGTACAACACCGAATTCAACAACAAGATCATCAGAATCTCAATTTGTCTTGCCGATTACTCATCGTCCTCGCGTGAAGTCCTGACGCTGCTTCACGGCGGCGCCAACGCCTCATGATTTCGCTCTTGCGTTGCCTATTATCAGAGAGAGGGGGCCGGCGGCAGGGGGCGAAGCCCTTACGGATAATAAGAATGAAGACGACGACGACGAACGACGACGAAAGACAAACGACGAACAACAGAAAAACGAAGGAGGCGGCGGCGGCGGCGGCCGCGGCGACAACCCGCGAAGGGGGGCAATTCCCGCCGCCCTCCGCGGGAAGGGGTCCAAAGCAGTGAAGAGTCCTCTTCCACCTACTCGTCATCACCATCATCGTAGTAGTGGCAGTCATACTTTTTTGTTTGAAGTAGTAATCGTAGTCGTAGTCGTGGTCGTAGTCGTAGAAGCTGTAGTAGTGCCAGCGCGTTTGTATTCGATTGCTTTTCCTATCTGTATGTTAGCCCTGACAGCATGACACTTTTCCTAAGCATTCCCAAACGTCACCGGCGCGAATCGTGATATTACGGGCCCCCTCCCCCCCTGGTAACCCCGTATCGCCGGAGCAAAAAAACAATGGTCTCTAGGAAGTCGCAGTAGTCGTCGCAGACGTATAGGTAGCAGTAATATTAATGGTGGTAAGAGTGGTGTGAGTTGTACGAGTAGCAGGTGTAATAGTACTAGAGGTTGTTGCTGTAGAAGATGTAGTAGCAGCAGTAGTAGCAATAGAAAGGGTAGTCGTAGCGGTACTGCTCCAAGTGGGTGTGATTATAATACGGGTAGAAGTAATCGTAGAAGTAGTAATGATCGTACAAACCGTAGAAGTCGTCGTCGTCGTCGAAGTAAATCCACTTATAGTAATGGTGGGGGTTGTCGCAGTGGCAATTGTCGTTATCAGTGTAGCCGAAGTAGTAGTCATATTCATACTCGTAGACGTGGTAATAGTAGTAGCTGTCGTCGTCGTAGTAATCTTAGTCGTAGTTTAGTAGTCGCAGTGGTAGGACTAGTAGTCGCAATCAGAATGTAAGACATGCTGGTAGTAGGCCTCGTAATAAGGCCTAGTAGTGAAAGTATTAGTGGCAATAGTGGTAGTGATAGAGGTAGTGGCGGTAGGAGTCGTAATAGTAGTAGTAATAGTAGTAGTAATAGTAGTAGCATTCGTAGTTGGACTACTACTACTACTAAATAGTCGTGCCCATACTTGCTGTAGCAGTGTAGTCGTAATCGTAGTGGTAGTCATGAGTAGTGGTAATATATGTAGTAGTAGTACTGCAAATGATCCCTGTAATACTTCGGGACAGTTCGGACATCGTCCGTCCATTTGCTCTCTGATATTCTAGTTGTCTTAGGTCGAACAGTGTCGTTGTAAAGGAGGAAGACGATGGACGACGGTCAGATCCCCTCTCCTCTTCTAAAAAAATCTAAAATATTTCCTGTAGCTGAAACTTTTCAGCCGGGATTGGAACTGAAGTAACCAGGATTGGCTCATATTGTCTGGATTTGGGTCTTTTTCGCCATAATTGGTTTCAATACAGGTTCGACGCCTCCCCGATGTCGCGCCCCCGCCTGGTGCGGCCTCCGCCTTGCATTTCACACACCCCCTGGTTCAAACTCAACGCGTTCATGCAAATATATCCACGTCCAACGCCTGCCGAGGTCCCCGACTATCGATCCCCCCAGATGGTGCTTATGGATAAGTCTCCGCCTGGGACCAGATGTCGCCACCTACGCAGGGCAAAAAGTGAAAAGCTATGACTTCTGAGAAGCTCGCTGAACAACTTGTTGGGCCTTCTCCGAAGACACAAACGGTTCCTTCAAGGCCACAGGGCTTCTGAGACGGCCCCCTGTCACTTCCCTCTCCGTTTGCCATCGATTCGTTGGTGTGGGGACAACCCAAAAAGCGACGCAATCGAGCGCGGAGTTGGGCGATAAACCGGGCAGTGGCGATAATAACTGGAAAAGGACACAACTAACGAATCGTAAGCTTTCGAAGGGCCTCGCGGATTCTTGGGATCGGGGCGGGATCGGCGTGCCAGGGAGGAGGGTCCAGCGCCGATCCCAGAGAACCGCGCGGACCCCCGACGGTGTATGCTCAGTTGCCTGTGACAGTCACAAAGAAAGAAGGATGGAGTCAGGAGGCGTCACGGATCTGCTGCCCCTCCTCCAGAATGCAACGTGCCTGAGAGGCGCGGCAGCGAATCACATTCATCAGCTACCCCCTGCCCATTACACCCACCTGCACTACACAGGAAGGCGCTCTAAAGGGTTACTAATAGAAGCCAAGTGATCCTCGACTGCACTCCAGACATTCGCACCATGTATTTCGCGATACGCCTCGCCGCAATGTCATGAACCTCCTTTCAGCAAAGCGTGGCAAAATAGTCGAGTGCCTTGGCCTCCATCTGAGCGATTTGCGCATTGAGGCCCTGAAGTTGCACAGCGAGCTTGCTAGTCATCGTGTCCAACTTGTCGTTGACCTGTGGCAGAGCTCTGAGAAACAATATGGTCGATTGCGATGACCCTTGCAAGATCGAGGGAATGGCGCCTTCACGTAGCTATTCTTTCGAACCGGTGGACAATTTGATCTCGGACTCCTCCTCCTCCTCCTTCACGGTCCGTCTCCACCATCCTCCCTTCTTTCCTCCACGGGCCAGAAAGAATTTGATCGCGCGCTAGCAGGCACGGAGCAAGAATTGCGCAACACGCATGACTTCATGTCGCTTCCCAGAACGATGTCGATACACGCGACGTGGGCCAGGAGAAGCACCAAGAGCAAGAGGACAGGGATGGAGGGGAGAGCAGGCGATGAGGAAAATCAAGACAAGGCGGACAAGGACGAGAAACAAAAAGAGGATGAATAATGGGAAAATCGCCATGGTACGCTTTCAACGAGATGACACTTCTCGCAATCAGGCGTGATCTCAAGATCTCGTGCGATTGCATCGACCATACTGGCAACACACAGAAGAGCCGATCGTACAACGGTAGGCAATCGCAACCTGGAACCAACACACATATCAGCATGCTCCGCCTCCCCCTCCGACACGGCATGACCGTCGACGGTGATGGATACAGCTCGCAAGATCGAACCATTAACATTAAGCTCAAACAAGCGACCCCTGCAAAAGCGTCCCGCTTCTCGGTCTTTTCCTGCTCCTGCCGCCAGGCTTCGACACTGCTCTCTCCTCACTCCCTCTCCTCCTCCTCCTCCTCCTCCTCCTCCTCCTCCTCCTCCTCCTCATCATCATCATCATCATCATCATCATCCTCCGCTCATCCACGGTGCTGAAGTCCCAGGAATAGCGCGCTTGCGCGATTCAGGATCGGCAAGACGCAACAGTCAGGTTCATTCGCGGCGTTAAAGTCCAGAGAATGCTGCTTTGGTACTCTACAGGATCTTCAAACGGTGGGCTCCTAACGGGGCACTTTCTGCAGAGAAAGAAAATGAACCCTTGCGGAGGCCTGCTAAAACTTGGGGGGAGGGTTTATTCCAACAATGTCGATGAATTTTGGGTTTACACTGGTCCTCCTCCTCCTTCTACTATTCCTCCTCTTCAAACCCTCCGCTCTCTGCGTATTGGCCTCCATCCTTGCATCCGTCAATCCCCCCTCGGGCCTCCCACTCTGCCACCCTGATCCCTCTATCCCTCCCCCTCGGCGCCGCCGCCACCACCTCCTCCTCCTCCTCCCCCGCCCGTCGGTCGGAAGAAGTGGGTAGAAACATGAAGTAGGAAGGCGTTGGAAGCAGATCGGGTGAAACCACTCCATCCTTGAAGTAGGAAGGCGCCAAAAGCAGGTTGGAACCTGGGAATCCAGAAACACCCTACTTTTAACGACGGCGCGTTGAAATGCCCGTCTGTTGCTAGGAAGGTCTTGTAATGTTTTCCAGGTCCCCGCCCCTCGCCCTGCGCGTGGTCTAAAAATCGTCCCCTGGCATTGCTCTGCGGCGCTCTGTTCGGCGTCCAGACGGCCAGGATGGCCTCCAAGACGGCCAAGATGACGCCGAGACGGTCCAAGATGGCCTAAGACCACTCAACAGGCTTCCAGGATGGCCTCAAGACAGCCCAAGAGGCATCCAAGACGGCCCAGGAGGGCTCCAACAGGCCCTCCAGGACAGCCTGAGGAGGCAACAACCGCTGATGTGCCCTAAGAGTTTGCAGGATCTTGAGGCTATCGCCTGCTTGGATCTGCGACCGCTCAAGATGGCCCACGAAGCCTCCGAGATCCGCCGCCCATTGCTTGCCGGGGGTGACAGGGCGTGTGAGATGATTGGCTGCCCCCATCCTCCGTTCCCCCTCCCATGGGGCCACAGATATCGTTAGAGGGGGGGCCCTGGGGGTGCGAGGGGGGAGACGAGCGCGTCAACGCACCGTGGGGGCTCTCTAGTGCCTCCGAAGAGCTCCAGGACGGCCCCAAGCGGGCCCAAACGGAGCACCGAGACAATCCAAGAGAGTGTCGAGATGGCCCAGGGCACCCCGCGACATCCAAGAGTGATCCCAAAGAACCGCCGTGAGGGCCCCAAGAGGCAAAACTCGCCCCATCCTCTGAGGACAACATGTTCGAGATACTTCTTCTCGTCTTCACAGAGTCCACTACGGCCCAAGAAGCCCCCAAGATCGTCTCCAGATGGCCCATGAGGCCGCCAAGAGGGTCGCACGACGGCCGAATGGAGCTCAAAGACGGCCCCAGAGGCCCTTGAAGGCCCTAAGAGAGGCCCAAGAGGGCATTACGAACTTACATCTCGAGTCTGTCCCGCCGTGATGGCCCTAAGAGCCCTCAGTGACACCGAGGCGCCCCCAAGAGGCCCCCAAGAGGCTTCCAAGAGACGCCCAAGGAGCTGCCAAAAGGCCCAGAAGAGGCACCAAAAAGCTAACCAGATGCCCCCCAAAGCTCTCTAAGATGCGCCTGAGAATCATTCCAAGAAGGCCTCACATGCATTCTACAAGCTTTTCCACAAAGCTCCCAGTAGCCTCCACCGGAGGCCTCACAGAAGCCCCAAGCAGCCCCGTGACAAACCCAACAACCCCACTTGCACCCCGTCATTCCGTCCTTCCTCCCTCCGCCTTCTTCTTTCCACCTCCGCTCCTCCTCCTCCTCCTCCTCCTCCTCCTCCTCCTCCTTCTTCCTCTCCTCCGCCCCCAACTCCTCCTCATCCCTCGCAGGCGTAAAAAAACACCCAGCCACTCCAGCTCCAACATAGCCTACCGAACGCCCTGGACGTCTCTACTCCGCTGGGGGTCCACGGAATGGAATAAGCGACCTGGAAAACTGCAAGATAACCCATGGGGCCACAAAGAGAGGGCCCCAAGTCGGCCCGAGAAGATCCCTAGATCGCCCAAGAGTCTCCTACGAAGCCCAAAAGATGGCCCTAAAGAACTGCCAGAGAACACCAAAATTGCCCAGAGAGGCCTCCAAGATGATTCCGAAGGTGTCAGACGGGCCAAATAAGCCCCCCTAAGAGTGTCTAAGAGCACCACAACAAGTGCCCAAGAGGCACCCAAGAGGCCCCCTAGAGGCACGTCGGAGGTTCCCAGGAGGCCAAGCGAGAGTTCCTAAGAGGTTGTTTCATCCTTGTCATCCTGCTCTCCCTCTCCTCCTCCTCCTGCTCCTCCTCCTCCTCCTTCTTCTCCTCCTCCTCCTCCTCCTCCTCCTCCTCCTCCTCCTCCTCCTCCTCCAGCGCCAGCTCGGCCCTGACCAAGGGACCCCGAGCCCGCGTCACGGGCGCCCCTCGCGCCGCCCCACCTGTCTCTCCTCCCCTGCCGCGGCCGCCCTCGGGTACCCCCCACCTCGAGCGGGCTGGACCTCGTCTCGGCTCGGCGGCCTCGTCGGCCCAACCTGTCGGCGGCGGAACGCTGCGCGCAGCAGGCGCGGGCGTACGGTCGCGCCGCCCTCCGCCTCCTGGCCGCCTTCGAGGAGGTGCGTGGCCATCGTGCAGCGGGGCGCTGCGCGACGCTCTGGCCGCCCGCCTTCGCCGTGGCGATGCTGGCGAACGTGGTGCTGGTGAAGGAGACGGGCAGCCTCGGCCATGCGGCATGCCCGACGCCGCGGTCGACATCGACGCCGCGATCCTGGAGGCGTCCAAGGTCTTCAACGTGGCGACCGAGCTCGAGGCCGAGCTGGAGCCGCTCTGCCCCGCGGCTGATGTGGCGAGCGTCGCCGCCCCGCCCGCGTCGGACGCGGCTGCGGCCGCCGTGCCTGCCCTTGGGGCGTCGCCCCCCCCGAGGCCAGGCCTTGACGGCGACGCGAGCGTCACGGAGGACCTCGCTGGCGGCTGGCGGAGACGGCGGCAGCTGCGGCCGTGGGCATGGCCGCCCCCGACGCTGCGGGACCTCACGACGCCCGAGGCCGAGGCACGGGAGCAGCGGGCGGAGGCCTGGCGGTGGATGCGCGGAAGGGCCCCCCCGCGGGCCTGCCCGCTCCCGCCCGCGCGGCCGAAACCGCCACAGGACCCTCAGCGGCTGGCGAGGGCAAGGGTGCTGCGCGAACTTCGCGCCCTTGCGGCCGCCACGGACGAGCTCCGCGCCGCCGAGGCTGCCCTTCCTGCTGCGGGGCTTCCAGCTCCTCCTCGGCCGCCTGGGCAGCGAGCTGGGCTGCAAGGGTGAGTACGGCTCCGTGGAGCGTCAGTACCCCTCATCCCCGACCCATCGGGAACGCTGCGGCGGGCTTGGCATGTACTTCCACTAAGCCGCTTGCCGGGTTCGGAGGTCTTCGACCCGTTCGACCTGGTGCTCCTCTTCGGCCTCGGGGGGGGGCCGCCTTGTCACGTCCACGGGTGGGCTGGGGGTGAGCCCCCGCTGAGCCGCGCATTTTGCGCGCCGCTTCGCCCGCGTGGGCGGCTGAGGGCGGCGGGAGCTGTTGGCCGCACCTGTCCGCTTTTCGGTGTTCTCTCACTCAGCCCTCCTCCTCCTCCTCCTCCTCCTCCTCCTCCTCCTCCTCCTGATCTTCCTCCTGCTCCTCCTCCTGCTCCTCCTCCTTCTCCACATTCTCCTCCTCCTCCTCCTCCTCCTCCTCCTCCTCCTCCTGTTCCTCCTCTCCCTCCTCTTCCCCTCTAGAGGAGCAAACAACAACATAAAAAATTAAACGGTCAGAGGTCGGAGCGGATTTCTCGGACCGGCGCTGGATCCCCCTCCCCAGCGCCAAGTCTAGGGGGACGCAGAATGGCGTAAACTTAAAACAAGTTCGAGTTCCGCGCGGATTCCTCGATCGACCGCGCCAGGGGCGGCCCTGGAGGCGCCGCCACGAGGCTCCAGCTCCGATCTGAGACATCCGCGCGGACCTCCGAAATTCTTGTATGTTTATGTCATTGCTTGTTCCCCGAAAGTCGTCGGAACCGGGGCCGCGCGCGATCGCCTTCCGTTCGCTAGTGAAGTGGAGATGCGTTCCAAATTGTGCCACGAATTATCATTACGTTGTGGGAGGGAGGAAAAACCCTCAAACTCGCTCGACCGACCTGGCTAACTAACCTGACTCCCGCTCCTCCTCCCGCTTCTCCCTCTTTCCCCCCTTGCGGTAGATTCGTGTGGCGTCGGCGCGAGCAAAGGCTTTTGACACCGCGGCGATCGTTCAACTTTGAATCGATCAGGGCCCCGATCGTTCAACATTGAATTCAATCGGGTCCAATGGCGTTACCGTGGCCATCGGTGCTTCCGCGTCGCAGAATTCATTCTTGAATACCTTCGTCCGCGTCGCCGGCGAGCCAACGCCGCATGAACCTACCTCCACAGGTCTTAAGAAAACGCTGACGACGATGACGACGACGACTACGATAACAACCACGAGGAGCAGCAGGAGGAGGAGGAGGAGGAGGAGGAGGAGGGGGACGAGGAGGAGGAGGAGGAGGAGGAGGAGGAGGAGGAGGAGGAGGAGGAGGAGGAGGGGCGAGATTGTTCCCCGCCGACAGAAACAGGCGGGCGGTGCACAACTAAAGACCTCCTGAGGTTACCCTCCTCCAACACTGCGCCCTCCGATTGTCAGCACTTCTCTCAACCCGCTCTGCATGCAGGGCGCGCCTGCCCAGCGCCCAGTGCCGGGGGAGAGGGGGGAGGCTGCGGAGGAGACAGGAGGACGAGAAGACGGACTGTGAGGCGGGAAACCATGTTCGGAGAGGTCGGCAAGCGGTGAATCTGGATGCATTTGCTCCCCCAGGGCCCCGATACATCCACATCCACCGCCTGCCGAAGTCCCCAGAGATCGACCCACGAGCGAGTGGAGAGGGCCGAAGGCAAGGCCGCAGCGCAGAGAACGGGCACGGGCAGAAGGAGCAGGAGGCTCAGCAGCATCGTGAGCTCCTATCCCCACCCCCAGCGGGCCAGGGTTCCTCAACGCCACCAGCCTGATCCCTCGAGGTGAGGATGGACGCCGCGAAGCCCGACGGAGACGGCACATCTCTCCGCCCAAAGGGGGGTAGGAGTCGGACCGCGGGGCCAAAGCCTGCCCGTGGGATAGGGATGGGCCTGGCGGTGCTGAGAGGCAGGGACGTCCTCAGAGGGAGGCGAGGGGGAACGTTAGGGGGACCTGCTCACGGTGGGGACACAACGGCCCGGAGTCGGCGATGCATCGCCGATAGATCGGCGATAGGCCCCGACGGCGAAACCGCAAACTCCTGGACGGGCAGCTCCCGTGGGTGCGCCCTCGCCTCGGCCTCGGCTGCTGCCACGGTCACCGCTGCCTCGGTCGGCCGCCCCGGCCCGCTCGACGCGAAACTCTTCCACGTCCGTGCGGTTTCCCCTCCCCCTCCTCCCGCGCGGCCGCTCTCATCTTTCCCCCTCCCCCCCCTGCACGCCGGCCAATTGGCTTTCGGCTGCCCCGAACAGCCACCCGCTGGAGCGGGCTGCCTCTGCCTCGCCGCCGACGGAAACAGCTCCTGGGACTGGAGAGCTATCGGACTCCTTTCGGCGATGGGCGGTTGGGGGTCGATTCCCCCCCCTGAGCCCATCCCCCTAATCGTTGCCCTCTTGGGGAGGAAGATGAGGAGGAAGAGGAGGAGGAGGAATAGGAGGACTAAGAGGAGGAGGAGGAGGAGGAGGAGAAGGAGGAGAAGGAGGGCGGAGGATCGAGGGGGCTTCGAGGATCGAGGGTCGAGGATGGATCCCTGGTCCTCGAGGGGGGCCCCCCTGACATTGCCCCCGAGGGTGGGCGCGGGAAAGCGCACCGTTCGTCGGGCACGCACCGACCCAGGTCAACACACACACACACACATTCACACACACTGACACACACACACACACTGACACACTGACACACACACACACTGACACACACACACACACACACATACACACGCACTGACACATACACACACACACATACACACGCACTGACACACACACACACACACTGACACACACACACACACTGACACACACACACACTGACACACACACACACACACTGACACACACACACACACTGACACACACACACTGACACACACACACACACACCACACACACCACACACACACACACAAAAGTCGGCCAAAGCCCTGTCGCGAAGCCCGGCTAGCCGCTGAATAACTCCGAACCCGGGTCAGCGGAGAACGGAAAGAGGAGTCGGCCCACGTGGCTCCCGAACCCGTGTCAGCCAGAGGGATTGGCCCACCCCCGTCAGCACTAACCCCCGTTGCGTGAACCTCGAATTCGACGAGAGGGTGGAGCGCCGGGAAGGGGCACCATCGCCATGGACGCGCGGCCGCGCCTCGCGCCCAGCCCACCCCCTCGGCCCTGGAGAAGGCAAACGCGGCGCAATTTTTTTTGTCGCGGCGACTTGGATCCAAGACGCGGTTGGGACAGCCTAGGCACGCAATAGGAGCAAGAAAGGCGCGAAGAGGGGGGAGAAAGCAGCGGGCGGCGAAGAACTCTTGGACCGTACGGTCACTGAACACGACACAAGCATGAAACTCTCGGACCGGCGCGGAGGCCCCCACCCCACCCCTGGCGCGCGGAGCGCGCCAGGGGCGGCGCCAAAGGCGCCGCCAAGAGGGCCCAGGCGCCGATCCGAGGAATCCGCGCTGGCCGCCAACAGCTTATGTGTATGCCGTTGATTGTTCTTTGACTGCGGCGGTCAGCATGTAGAAGACAATGCCCTCTCTGGGACGCCCCGTTTAGGGATCCTCCTCCTCCTCCTCCTCCTCTCTATCCTCCTCCTCGTCCTCGTCCTCCTCCTTCTCCTCCTCCTCCCTATCCTCCTCCTCGTCCTCGTCCTCCTCCTCGTTCTGAAAACGTGCGGTCCTCGCGCGACCAGGCGGACCGCCGAATGAGGCACGCAGGGGCCATCCTGGCCACCGAGAGCCAGCCCCCCGCCGTAGACCTTGGGTCCTTATTCTCAGGGGAGAAGGAGGAGGAGGAGGAGGAGGAGGAGGAGGAGGACGAGGAGGAGGAGGTGGCGGAGGAGGAGGAGGAGAGAGGGGCGAGATTAGTGATTATGGCGACGGGACACGGTCGGAGTCTTGAGTCTTGAATCTTGGACTGTATGTTTGCGCAGGTTCTTCTTCGAGGCCCGCGCCGTGCCCTGGCAAAGGCTCCCGGCCAGGACTCGGGCCGGGCGCCCCTGGCTCCCCCTGGCCTCGGCCTTCCGCCGCGAGGATCCCTCAGACCATCCGTGCTCGACAGAGGGGGAATGCTCCGCATCCTCGGCGCGGGGCTCAAGGGGGGAACGTCCACAGCCTTCTGGACGCTGGGGCCCCGCTGGGGCCCCGCAGAGGCCAGGAGGGGCGATGAGCGCGAGGAGGAACGCGCCAGGCCGAGCTCCTCGCGCCTCTCCCTCTGGTGGAGATTCTCTTTGACGGCGGCCTCCAGGGTGCTGAGCCTCTCGGGAGCCGGGGATCGGCGGGGCGCGCCGCGGCGGCCGCGGACGTGGCGGCCGTTGCTGTTTGATGGCCGTCCTCGTCGAGGGTATGGCAGGCGTCCTCCCTGGCGCCGCCGTCGTCGTGCTCCATCGCTAATGCCTTCACAACTTCTGTTGTCCCTCGACTTGCGCTGGAGCGTCCACGATCTGCTCAAAGTTTCCCTGGAGACCTCTGGATTTGTCTGGCCTGATTTTCGCACGTCAATTGGCGAAGAGTCGCCCAGGCTTTAGGCATTCCGCCAGGCCGTGGCGTCGATGAGCCAGTTGCGTCGAGCTCCTCCATCTCTTCCTCCTCCTCCTCCTCCTCGTTATACTCGCCGTCAGCTGAGGGGGATCGAGGCGCGCTTAGCCGTCAGCTACGCACCACCCTCCTCCCCACTGGTGCAGAGACACATAGCTCAGAATCCCTTCGGAGTAAGACAAAACAGGCGGCCCGTAATGAGTGGGCTGGTGAGGTGGTGTGCAGGGTTGGCCCTGCTAGTATAAATCATATCAGATTGACGAAAAAAGGCGCTGCAACACATGTTTCCAATATCGAGGGGGACAAAACATCAACGTCGTCAACCTGCAATACGTCCTCGGCCCCCTACGTTGCAATGGTTGCCAGCGTAGATTCCGAACAGTTGGCGCTTGTACTCTGGATGTGCACTATATATATATATATATATATATATGTGTACATGTGTTGCTGCACACTTATAGTCTAGTTTGGCATGTGGCGTGCACTATGTATACGTATATAGATGTATACATAATAGATACAAGCATTCCCCCCCCACATCCAAAGTGGGGTTCTTGTTTTCTCAGGACACCTCGCGCAGGAACCTTACCGGACCTCCCACCCCTCCCCCCTTCACTCACCATCCATAGCAGCATCATCAGTCATCGTCACTACTCATCATCATCCTCATCATCGTCACCATCATCAGCATCATCACAATCATTCACATTCACACCATTATCATCCTCATCACCAACAATATCCTCATCATTCGATCAATCATCACCATTATCATCATCATCCTTATCAGCATCATCATCATTCGGTCACTCATCAGCATCTCCACTCATCATCATCACCCTCATCACCACTCGCTCACTCATCACTTCGTCGCCATTCACTCCTTAGCTTGAATATGGGGGACGTCTCGAGCGGGAGCCTCGTGTGTGAGTGAATTGCGGGGACGTCTCAGGCGGGACCCCCTCTCCTTATGGGGCCCGCACCTCATATTTATAATCCGAGCGGGACATCGGGATCCTGTAATTATCGTCACTTTTGGGCTCCTGAGGCCTGGGTATGGGGGAAGTATCAGGCGGGAGCCTCGTCTGTGAATGAATCGTGAGGAAGTCTCAGGCGGGAACCCTCTCCCTATGGGGCCCGCACCTCGTCTTTTGAATCCGAGCGGGTCATCGGAACCTTGTAAAAATCTTCACTTTTGGGGTGCTGAGGCCTGACTGTCTCAGGCGGGAAGTCCCTCCCGATGGGGCCTGTCGTCGGGAACCTCGTCTGTAAGTGAAACGCAAGGAAGTCTCAGGCGGGAACCTCCTCCGTATGGGGCCCGCACCTTCTGTTAGTAATCCGAGCGGGTGGACCTTCACTTTTGGCCTCCTGAGGGGGTGGATATGGAGGAAGTATCCGTCGGGGGCCTCGTTTGTGAGTGGATTGCGAGGAAGTCGCGGGAAATCCGTCCCTATGGAGCTCGCACTTTATGTTCGAATCCGAGGAGGGTCATCGGCAACCTGTAACTGTCGTCACTTTTGGGCTCCTCAGGCTTGAGTATTGGGGAAATCTCAGTCGGCAGCCTCGTCTGTGAGTGAATCGCGAGGAAGTCTCAGGCGAGAACCTCCTCCCTACCTCCTCCCTATGGGTCTTGCGCTTCATGTTCGAACCCGAGGCAGGTCATCGGCAACCTGTAAGGAGGAAGGGGAGAGAGCAGAGCTCAGGGCGAGAGGATCATGTCCGCCAGGGCGACGGGGGAGGGGCTAAGGGTAAGCTAAACAGATTCTCATGCGGGGTCTCACCGTCGGAGTAGTTTGGAAATAATCTGGGGGGGGGGGGCAGTCAAAACAACTATGCGCGGCGCTGTCGTGCCCATATAGAAAGCAAAAGGATGGCGGGGCAAACCGGACCGCTGGGGACGTCCCCGCGACCGCCTTGGCACTGGTTCGTGAGGGGGCGCAGGTCCTTAGAGACCTCCCGCGTCAACGACGATCGGCGCCGACACTCGGCGCGTCAACGACGATCGTCGCCGACGCTTGGCACCGACGCTCGGCGCCGACACTCGGCGCCGACACTCGGCAGTCACACTCGGTGCCGACACCCAGCACCGACACTCGGCGTGCGCACTCGCCACGAGTGCACTCTGAGCCCCATCGCCTCACCAGAATGCACTCACCAGGGTGCGCTCGGGTGAGTGCACTCTGGGCATCCAAAAAGGGATGCCCAGAGTGCAGTGACCCGCGCATGACGACTTTCGCATCGCGAACGATACAGAAGCCACCACACGCCCGCGACGGCACATGGTAGGCTGCACCAATAGACGAAAACGAAAAGACCGCATTCCAACGTGGAAGCCCAATCGGCAACCGCTAGAAAAGGCCTGCTTCGGTTCGCAGGCCAGCACGGCGACGTTCCATTTGTGGGCAAGAAAGAAATCGCCACGCGAACGCGCGCGTCGGCGCATTGTAGCCTGCACACATGGACGAAAACGTAAAGACCGCATGTTGCGTGGGAAATCTCATCGGCGACCACTGAGGTTTCACTTCTAGTTCCCAGACCAGCATGGCGATTTTCCTATCGCGGGCAACGCAGAAACCGCCACGCGCGCCCGCGCGCGTCGGCGCACTGCAGTCTGCACTAATATGCGAAAACGCACAGACCGCACGTTGAGCTTTGAACTTACATCAGCAAGCGCTAAGGCGCGTGTCGGCGCAGTGTAAGCTGCACCAACAGACGAAATCGAAATGGCCGCATTTGAAGTTGGAAGCTCAATCGACAAGCGCTAAGGGTTCACGATTGTTCCAAGGCCAGCACGGCGACTTTCCTACTGCGGACAAAACAAGAACCGCCACGCGAACGCGCGAACCGGCGCAGGCTGTGCAAATGGACGATCACAACATTGAAAGACCGCATGTAAAATGGGAAATCCAATCGGCAACGGCTGCGGGTGCACGCCGCGCGCGCGCGCAGGCGCGTCGGCGCAGTGTAGGCCGCGCCGATGGACGAAGACGTGAAGACCGGATGCTAGTTTGGAACACAAACCCGCAACCGCTGCGGTTTCACTTGAGTTCGCAGGCCAGCGCGGCGACATTCCGATTGAGGGCGGCCGCGCGAAAAAAAAAAAAAACGCCATGCGCGAGGCGCCAGAGCCGCCGCGCGCGCCGCGGCCAACGCGCATCTTGCATACGAAAACACAATTCGCGATGGGCCACGGGCCGCCGCGCGCGCGGCGGCCCGCGCGCATCTTGCATGGGGGCGCAAAAAAAAACCATGCGCGAGGCGCCAAGGACCGCCGCGCGCGCGATGGCCTACGAGAATATCATATGGCAAACGCGATGCGCGAGGGGCCAAGGGCCGCCGCGCGCATCTTGCATGGAAAACACATTGTGCGAGGGGCCACGGGCCGCCGCGCGAGCGATGGCCTACGCGCACCTTGCATGGAGTAACGCAACGCGCGAGTGTGCCAAGGCCCGCCGCGCGCGCGGCGGCCCGCGCGCATCCTGCACGAACGCGCACAATGCGCGAAGGGCCAGGGTCTCCGCGCGAGCGATGGCCCACGCGCACCAAGCATGGACAAGCAAAATGCACCAGTGCACCATGGGCCGCCGCGCACGGGGCGGCCCGCGCGCATTTTGTACCGACGCGCACAGTGCGCGAAGGGCCAGGGCCGCCGCGCGCGCGGCGGCCCACGCGCATATTGCATGGACAACCAGCGCGCGAAAGGCCGAGGCCGCCGTGCGCGCGGCGGCCCACGCGCATTTTGCATGGCAAACAGAATGCGCGACGGGCCAGGGCCGCCGCGCGCGGCGGCCCACGCGCATCATGCATGGAACAACGCAGCGCGCGAAAGCAAATGGGCTGCCGCGCGCGCGGCGGCCCGCGCGCACCTTGAATGGAAGCACGCAGTGCGCGAATGCCAATAGGCCGCCGCGCATGCTCTGCGGCGCACGCGCATCTTGCACGGAGAACACACAATGCGCGAGGGGCCATGTGCCGCCGCGCGCGCGGCGGCCCCCGCACATCCTATACAGAAAAGCGCCATGCGAGAGGGGGCCAGGGGCGCCGCGCGCGCGGCGGCCCACGCGCGTCTTGCATAACAACAAAATGCGCGAGGGGCCAGGGCCGCCGCGCACGCGTCGGCCCACGCGCATCTTATATGGAAAGACAATATGCGCGAGGGGCCAGGCCGCGCGCGCGGCGGTCCACGCGCATCCTGCATGGCAAAACACAATGCGCGACGGGCCATGGTCCGACGGGCGCGAGCGGCGGCCCACGCGCACCTTGAACTGACAAACGCAATTCGCGAAGGGCCATGGGCCGCCGCGCGCGCGGCGCCCCATGCGCAACTTATGCGAGGAACCATATTGCGCAATGCGGCAAAGGCCGCCGCGCGCGCGGCGGCCCGCGCGTCTTGCATGACGAAAAAACAGCGCACGTGGGGCCACGGGCCGCCGCGCGCGCGGCGGCCCACCCGCACCTTGTATGGAAAACCAACGCGAGAGGGGCAATGGGCTGCCGCGCGCGCGCGGCGGCCAACGCGCGTCTCGCAGGGAAACAAAAAAAACAATGCGCGAAGGGCCAGGGCCGCCGCGCGCGCGGCGGCACACGCGCACCTTCTATACAAAAACGCAATTCGCGATGACGCATCCTGTATGGGGAAAACCATGCGCGAGAGGCCGTGGGCCGCCGCGCGCGCGGCGGCCCACGCGCACCCTGTCTGGACACACAACAAAACATAATGCGCGAGCGGCCAGGGCCGCCGCGCACGCGGCGTCCCACGCACATCTTGGATGGAAAAACACGATGCGCGAGGGGCCAAGGCCGCCCCGCGCGCGGCGGCCGTGGCCCATTATGCAAGGAAGACGCACAGCGCGCGAGGGGCGCGAGCGGCGGCCCTGGCCCTCTCTGTGCGGGAAAACACGTAAAGCGCGAGGACAAGGCCGCAGGCGCGCGCGGCGGCCTTGGCTCATTCAGTGCGGGAAAACACACCATGCGCGAAGGGCAGGGGCCGCCGCGCGCGCGGAGGCCCTGGCACAATGCGTGGGAACACGTAGCACTGCGCGAGGGCCAAGGCCGTTGCGCACGCGACCGCCATGGCCCATGCTGTGTGGGAAGCGTGCGCACGTACACTGTTCCAGTAGGACGACAACTACTTATTCGTCGACTGGAGCAGCCTATACATCTGCACGCAAGAATTCCGAATGCATTTTCCAATGCATGCGCGTGCGCACATGCTTACAATACACACGTATGTTCGCTCTCCGTCGGCGTATGAATAACACTCGGGATCCGCCGGCGTATTAATAACACTCGGGATCCGGGGGGGAGGGGGGGTCATCATTTTTGAACAGGTTTTGGACAATATCCATATCGATGTACACATTCATCTGTGTTTGCATGAATGTATATAGTCCCGTTGCGATGTTATCTATGTGGCGCATTGTAAATATGTTGTGCAATCTGTGTGAGGCGGCGGCGAGGTGGCGAAAGGCGGCCACCAGACGAAAACGTGGCACATCCAGCCAGCCGGTACACCCGGAAAACCCAACGACCTGTTTCCTGCTCCTCCCCGTCGTGCTCCCCCATCTTCGAGGCACAAAACGGGGAGCTGCCCTGATTATGACCCCGAGACGTCGAAAGGAAGGTTGGCGAGGCGATGCAACGGTTTGTTGCGAGGTGGGTCGGAGTCTGGCAGCCCGAAACACAGTTCCCAAAATACCACGTGCTGCTGCGGTTTTCTCCTCCTCCTCCCCCCCATCTCCTCCTCCTCCTCCTCCTCCTCCTCCTCCTCTTCCTCCTCCTCCTCCTCCTCCTCCTCATCCTCCCCGTCTTATCCCTGCGACTTCGGGGGTGCGGGATGTCTCCCGACCCTCCTAGCGCAACGCTATCTCAGAGCTCGGACACGCCGTGTGTGGAGCAGTGCCCCCCCTTCGGGCCCCATCCTGCGTGGCACGAGGCAGGGCTCGAGCTGAACAGTGTTTTCCGTGCTCGTTATGTGTTTGGTTTCTCTCGCTTTGCCACCAATCCCACTCTGCTGCAAAACGAAATCGGCACGGGAACGGTCCACGAAATCGCCAACAGACTGTTTAGCTCGAGCCGTGGGAGGAGGAGGAGGAGGAGGACAAACGCCACAGCTTCACGCTCAGGTTGGTCTGACGTAAAAACGTTCAAAACAGGAGGAGGAGGAGGAGGAGGAGGAGGAGGAGGAGGAAGAGGACAAACGCCACAGCTTCACACTCAGGTTGGTCTGACGCAAAAAAAAAAGAAGAGGAGAAGGAAGAGGAGGAGCAGGAGGAAGAGAAGGTGCAGGCGGAGGAGGACCAGGAGGAGGAGGAGGAGGAGGAGGAGGAGGAGGAGGAGGAGGAGGAGGAGGAGGAGGAGGAGGAGTAGGAGGAGGAGGAGGAGGAGGAGGAGGAGGAGGATGTGTGTGTGTGTGAGTGTGTGTGTGTGTGGCGCGAGGGGGCAGCCTTCTCACAAGGCCAGGGGGGCTTCTTAGAAGGCACGTGGCCTTCCCAGAGGGGCCCTCCCGCCTTGCAGAGATGCCTTCTTGGAAGCCGAGAAGGCCGCCTGCCTCTCCTCCTCCTTCTCCTCCTCCTCCTCCTCCTCCCCCCCCCTGGCCTTCTCGGAGGGCCACCCCGACCGCCCCCCTTTCTGCGCGACACCAGCCTTCTACGAATGGCCCCTGACGGAAGAGCCAACATGAATTCCAGCGCTGCTGGCGAACCCGCCGCCTCGACTTGGCCAGTGCGCTTTGCGCGCTTTGAGCCGGCACCGGGTGCCCTTCGCCTCCTGGACTCCCTACCCTGCTGGAGTGAAGATTGGTTGGAGGTCGTGTGTTGCGTGGACGTTCGTTTGCGTCCAGCCCTAGCTCCTCAAGACAGAAGGCAAGCCGACATGCTGACACATGACTGCGAGTTCTGCAGACCTCCTCGGTTGCGGGTGAAAAGGGTGTTGACCGCAGTCTGCGAGGCTCGGAAGCACATGCAAAAGAGGCCCGCCGCAGAAGTCGTTTCTTCAACACAAGACTGTGGGCGGGCCGCGCGGGCTGGGGGCAAACAGTGGCGTGCTCAAACAAAAACCACCCCGCCGCAAGCGCCGCTTTTGTTCAACTGAGCGTGGTGCGGGTGTTGCAAGTAAAGCCGTTTGGGTGGGTCGAAGGTGGGTCACGGGGTGAGTTGAGGGGTGGGTTGCGGGGTGGGTCGCGGGGAGGGTCGCTGGGTGTGTCGCGGGATGGGTCGCAGCGCAAAGAGAAAGAACAATAATGTCAAACAACAACTAATATCATGCTGCCTCGAGCGATCCCCACCGGAGAACGCGAGGCGGAATCCCCTGGGAGCTCCAGACCACTTGGGGCCTGGCAGCCGCGGCATGCAGTAGTCATGTGTCGAAGACGCCAGGAAGCATACCTAGGCAGCACGAGGACCCTTTGGGCCTGGCGGCCGCGGTATGCAGCGTGCCCAAGGGGGGAGGTCGGGGGCTCTTCTGTGCAAGTCAAACAACCCCCAACATCGCGGAAGCCCACGCCATCCACGCAACGAGGGACGGTTGAAGACCGCTCAGCCCACTCACTCTGCCATAACCTGAGAACGCATGGCACGGCTCCGAATGGAGTGGTTGGAGGGAAAACGGGGAGAGGAAGCCTCTTTGAGCTCCACTCTCCCTGCGCGGGGTTACTTGCCAGAGTGCGTAGGTACGCACTGAGAGGGGTGCTGGTGGATTTGCGATGGCGCCTGTAGGGGCGCAGGTCGACATGGTGCCTCTGGAGGTGTACGTGCAGGTGTGCAGGCCCGCCAGGCCGTCGCCAATCAGTGGCTGATGTGGTCTGCGCTTACTGCTGCGCGTGGGCGTTGAACAATATAAGAAGAATAGACATAACAAGTAATCGTTGGGCCTGGGGTGCCCACGATGGCCACGAGCTGCGGTCAACGCCTCGGTTCCACGCGATCGTTTCGCATCTAGGGCTGTGTGTTGTGCGTGCGACGTCCGTGGAACACCGCCGCACAGGTGAAGGAGGCTGTACACGTATCACGCGTGCGACCTTTCCCAAGTGCAGCTCGTACAAGGTGGAAACAACTAGAGGTGCTGCCTGTCGCCTGACAACTTATGACATTGCAACAAACGAGCTTTGAGTTTTCGCGGCCCATGTAAGAAGTCCAGGAAAGAGAGAGATAACGACACATAGAGACAAATCTATGCAACTCTTGATAATACGCGCCCGGGCTGCTTCGACCTTACTTGCAGCATGCCTTGCGACTGCCTGCTCCTCTGCAAAGTGACTCTGGGCCGATTCGAAGAACGGTAGCTGTCGAGTGGGACAGGAAGGGGAGCAGGCCAGAGGGGGGGGGGGGGGGCAGCGGCCTGATAGAGACATCGTCCTGCATGGACGCGAGCGTGCTCTGCAGGGTGGCCACCTGTTCACATGGCGCGTCCCCGCCTCACCGTTTCGGCGGCGCGCGCAAGGGGGTGGACGTCTAAGAAGGATGGGGTGGGGGGGGCTACTTGGAGGGCACCCTCCAGGCGTCTGACAGGCCTGATCGGGGGCCCGCATTGCCTTCCAGAAAGCCCACTCCACTCGGTTTCCTCAGAAGCCGGGGGGGGGGGGGGGGCCGCGCGGCTTTCTTAGGATGCCCCCCCCCCCCTGCCTTCTCAGACGCCCCCCTTCCCAGCCAAGCCTCCTCAGATGGCCGTCACTTCCCGCGCCACCCCCCTGTGCGCGCCGCCAACCGTCCTCCTGTTTCTTCTGCTCATCTTCCTCTCCGTCGCCCTCTGCGAGGCGCAGGCCGATCGATCCATGACCGCAGCCTGGGGAATCGATCTTCGGAGACCTCGGCAAGCGGCGGATAGGGTATGGACATACTTGGCGACCCGCTGTGCAAGGCCCGACCGGTGGTTATGAATGAATGCCCTCCTCCTCCTCCTCCTCCTCCTCCTGCTCATCATCATCGCCATACTCATCATCATCATCATCATCATCATCATCATCATCATCATCATCATCATCATCATCATCATCATCATCAGCATCATCATCATCATCAGCAGCAGCAGCAGCAGCATCAGCATCAGCATCAGCATCAGCATCAGCATGAGCATCAGCATCGTCATCATCACCATCATCATCATCACCACCATCAGCATCACCATCATGATCATCAGCATCCATCATCATCATCATCATCATCATCATCATCATCATCATCATCATCATCATCATCATCATCATCATCCTCATCCTCATCATCAGGATCAGCATCAGCATCAGCATCAGCATCAGCATCAGCATCATCATCATCATCGTCATCATCATCATCATCATCATCATCATCATCATCATCATCATCATCATCATCGGCATCAGCATCCTTGTCGTCGCCACCATCATCAACCTTTTCCTTCTCCTCCAACTCCTCCTCCTCCTCCTCCTCCTCCTCTACCACCACCTCCTCCTCTTGTTCCTCCTCCTACTCCTCCTCATCCTCGCTGCCCTTGTCCTCACCTACATGGGGCTGCCGCGCTCACTGATCAGAGCTGCTCAGGACCCTGTTTTCGTTTGGCTCGGGGGCCGCCATGGCCGAGACTGGCCAAGATCATTTCGGCGGCCGCCAGCCTCTCTGCGAGCGCCTCGCCCACCGTGCAGATTCGGCGCTGCGCTCTGCACTTCTACGTCAACTCCGGGCTGGGCGATCGGCGGTATGATGCCCCCGTACTTCCAGACGACCTCTGGTTTTTGGAGAAACGCCTCCACCGCGAGAGGCGGCGGACACGATCTTGCAGCACGATTTGGCGATCGCCGCCGTGCAGCAACGCCATGCGGCGGCGGCCCGCCTGGCCCGCCTCCTCGGGCGGGTCCGCGCTGGGCCCCGCCGCCGCGACTACCCCTGCATCCGGGCTTCGGCTTTGACCATCGAAGAGGTACGAGCCCCTTGGCGCAACCAAGCGGGGCTGGAAGCATGCTGGCGTACCGCGTCGCCGACTGGGACGAGTTGCGTGCCAGCATCGTCGACCAAGACTCGACCGAAGGCACCGCTGAATTTGGACCAGAATTCTTTGGTTCAGCGAAATGGCGCCCGCCTCTGCTGCAGGAAGCAAAAGGGCAAGCATCATCGTGTGACGCCGCCACGCTCGCCTCCCTTAGAACTCTTCCAAATGATCTGGCGCCTCGGGGTTGGCGCCGGAACATAGCAGACCGACGCATCGCCTTCTCACGAACTCCTCCTCATGGGCTGCTGGCGCATGCTTGCTGCTTGCTGGCCGCGCGCCCTACCACTGGCACCTGAGGTCCGCATCGGTGCCACGTGCTTCCGGCATCGGGCGAAGGCTGGCATGCTAGGGCGCTTCAATTTGTATACGGGCCGGCGCGAGGAGGTCATGTTGATTAAGCAAGCGGATACATGGAGCCTCCGGAAAATTGGCGCGGCGCATGTGGACGACCTGCACGACGTGACGAACGCATTCGCCTCGGGGACTGGCAGGCCATGGCGCCGACGTGGGCCGAACGCCGCGCTCGCCCTTCCGCGGCGGCGCGGGCTTCGAAGTAGTCAGAGCGGCGGCGGTGCTCTCGGAGACTCGCCCTTCTGCTAAGCGGTCGCAGACGCCGTAGAAGGCGCCCAGAGCTCCAGGGTCAAGGAGCACCGCGCGCCAGTGCTCGCACATGCCGCCGCTGACGGCGGCCCCGCCCCCTTTGGGGCCGGCCCGGAGGACCTTCTTAAGACAACCGTCGAGCTGCCGGGCCGGCGGCGGCGCCAGGGCCGCGGCGCCCCGCGGCTGCAGGAGGCCCTGGGGCCGCTGCCCTGTCTCTGGCGTCAGCGGAGCCAGCCCTGGGCTGCTCAGCAGCGCGGCTGTTCGGGAGCGCTCCTCGGCCAGCGCGTTCCGCATTGCCTCGTCGGCCAGGGCGCCGGCGTCGCGGTCCAGGCATCGCCCCTCGCGCTGGACTCTTGCCAGCGCCGCGCCACTCCAGCGGGCCTCTGGCGCCAGTCGGGCGCGGCCCAATTTTTCCGCGCCCGCCCGCAGCGAACCCCCTCACTCCGCGCAGCCGGAGCGGCGTGGCGAAGAGCAATATCTCCCGCACAAGCAATAGTTTCCAAACTCTGTGCTCCTGCTGGCAGCCGGCCGCGGATAGTAGCTCACCTCCTCCGTGGCCTGGGCCACAACGGTGCGCGCCCCCCCGCGGCGCGAGATGGAGCGTGGGCACGTTTTCGGCTCCTGCAGCTCCAGCTGGTCCAGGTCGTCCAGCCCCGCCCAACAGGGGTCTCCACAATCGCGGAGCGGGCGCGCCGCCGCAGCTGGCGCGGAGCGCGCTTTCCAGGGCGCCGCGGCGGCCGCGGAGGCGGCGCTCCCGGCGGAAACGGCGGCGCTGGCAGCAAGCGTAGCGCCTCCAGCGGGCGGCGCCAACGCGACTGCCGCACTCTCGGCGGCAGCAGGCGTCGTGCCCCTAACGGGTGACGCCGCGGCGACGGCGGCAGCGACGTCGGCGGCGGCCGCGGCGCATGCGGCGGCAGAGGAGCGCGTCGCAGGGCCCGCAGTGGTGGTGTCAGCCGCCGGCTCCGGCGCCTCCGCCGCAGGAGGCGCCAGATCCCCTGAGGAGGTCTTCGCCGCCCGCAGTGGGCCATGGCAGCTTGGGCGCGGCAGCAAACCGCTGGCCGCCGGCCCTGGGTGGCTGGCGCGCGCATGCTAGCGTAGCCGCGCAATCGTCTCAGCGTTCCGCCCTTCTGCGGCTGCGGGCCGCTGGGGCAAGCGCGGACTGGGCGGCCGCAACAGCCTCCCGGCGGATCTTCGGTGAAAGCGCGTTCCGCCGACACGGCCCGCGCAGACGGCAGGCGACCTGCAAGAGCGCTGCGTCGTCGTCTGCCTCGGTCTGGTCCAACTCGTCCATGGGCTCGTTCGCGGACGTCTCGCCGTCCACGCCGACAAGCTCCTCCTCCTCCTCCTCCTCCTCCTTTTCCACCTCCTCCTCCTTTTCCTCCTCCTCCTCCATTGTCCAGTATAATTAATTCCTCTGTGTCTGACCCCGAGGTCAGTCGGAAGGCGGTCAGCGCGGTCCACATGGGACGTCATCACCATATGTGAGCCTGAAGCTCGAAAATCAGCAACAACCTCGCACATCGACAGTTGGTTGTTTCCAAACTGTGGTTCTCGCTTTAGCGCCGCGCACGTGTGCTTTACAATTTTGCAAGAGCTTCGCGAATTAAGGGCAGTTTAAAGTGTGCATGCCGCTCTCGCGCCGCGTACACTCGTCTTCACACGTTGTGAAACGTACAACAACATGGGGTGTGGAACGAATCAAGATTGCCAGGGCGCAAAAGGTACCCTGATCCACGGAGTTGGAGTCACAGGAAAGGTGTTCTGGTACGACTCAGGGTCGTCAAGACGCACCAGTCAAGTTGATTCGTGGCGTTGGAGTCCCAAAAATGGTGTTTTGATGCGCTTCAGGCTTTTCGAGCAGTTGTCTCCCAACGGGCCCCCCCCCAGTGGGAATGAAATATTGTAGGGGCCTATGAGCGTGGAGCTTGGAGGAAGGGTTTGTCTCGACATCGCGGGCGACTCTTGTGTTTGCACTGGTCCTCCTCCTCGCCTTCCTCGTCGTACTCATGCATTCCTTCTCCTTGGAAATGAACCCTCCCGATCGCATCGCGAGGCTGGTCGACACGGCGGGCCCGGCGTGTCGCCTGAGGCTTCCTTCCCTTCCGAATTAAAATCCTGTAACTTAAGCATCGGCAGCCGCTTCACAGATGGAGGGCGGGTCGCTGCCAAAATGTGGCACTCGTCTTTGCTTCGCGCGCAATCGTTGCACGAAACTGCCCTGAGCTTCTCGGATCGAGAACGGGTCGTTTTGAAAATGTGGTTTTCGCCTTAGCGACGCGCGCATCCGTTTAACAACAGCTGCCATATCTTCAAAGAGTGAGGGCGGGTCGTTTTCAAAATATGGCTCTCGCCTTAGCGCCGCGTGCATTCGGTATACAATTACAACAGCTTTGCGGAGTGAGGGAGGGTCGTTTTCAAAATGTGGCTCTTGCAGTAGCGCCGAACGCATTATTTTCTTACGTTTGCAATCACTCACGGATTGAGGGCGGGTCGTTTTCAACATGTGATGATCGCTCTAGCGCCGCGCACTTTCGTTTTAAAAACTGGCGGAGCCCCACGCATTGAGGGCGGGCCGTTTTCAAAATGTGATTTTCGCTTTGGCGCCGCGCTTGTTCGTTTTGAAACATTTACCTGGACGTCACGATTTGAAGGCGGCTCATGTTCAAAACGTGGCTCTCGCCTGAGTGCTGCGCACATCCGCCTTATACACGTGCAAGAGTTCGGCGGACTCCCATGGTTTGAGCGCGCCCGTTGTGTTACAAGAAGGGGGGATCGGGTTTTGAGTTACCGATAATTCCCTGTTTGCGCTTCCTTGCAATTTCCCTAAAAA